CTCAAAGCAGGGAAATGATATCAAACCCCTCAAGATTTAAATCTAACTTTGCAATTTTTTTCAGTTGTTCATCAGTAGCTGCAGCCAGACGGCTGTGATCAGCAAATTGTGAACATCCTACATTCGGCTGCTCTTTTGTTTCAAGGAGAAGAGCAGACAATCCCAAGAGCAATGGGCTGTCTGGACAAAGAGCCTCCAGAAGTGTTGTCAGCAGGATTGAGCAGTACCTGGGGAAAGGTAATTCCAGCAGTGGGAGATGGTGATCAGTGACCCACTGACCACCTGCTCAGAACGGCCCCCGACTGAAACAGAGGGAAGAGCTGCCCCTGCAGAGGGAGGGTGAGTGTGGGAAGGGAAAGACACCCAGCACAGAGAGGTTTCAGTGCTAATTGATAACAGTTGTGTAACCTGTAACCAAGGAACACTGGTGCCTTTGTTTGCTCAAATGTATAAATGCTGATGCTCGGGAAGTGGGGAACGGCCTTGGGGGAACCTCCAGCTCCCATCTCTGCGCTAACAGCGATAAAACCCCGAAATCCCTCACCTCGGGGTGGGACTTGGTGCTGCACTCTGCGAACGAGCCTGCGGTGGGGACAGCAGTCCCACTCCAGCCCCCAGGACTCAGTCCCAGTATCAGGGAGCGGCTGGGGCAGGACGAGCCGCCCGTGCTGGGCTCGGGGCAGCGGCTCCCGGCGGTGCCGGGGCCAGACCGAGGGGCTGCAGGACCGGCATGGGGAGCAGGGGGGGCAAAGGGGGAGGGGCCTCATCAGAGCAGGTGAGTCCATGCAAACCGTTCTTGCCACACCACGGGCTGCCGGGACACGCCCTGCTCTAAGACTCCACGGCCACGCGCGTCCACGGGCACTGCGAGGGGCGGGGCCATGCGAGCCTTGGGGAGAACATGGGGCCGGCTGGGCGCAAGGCCAGGTCTGTGGTGAGCGTGTCTTGGGGTGGGTGTGCGGTGTGGGGGTAGTGGGGCTTGGAGAATGCCATTAAAGTGAGCTAGAAGGGGAGACACCATGATCAGGCAGGTGGTTTTCCCAGGGCGAGGCTCATCCCTTGCACTCTGGGTGTGCTGACCCCTGCGATTTCCCCAAATGCGGGAAACTCGACTGCATAATTTGTGGTAGTGGGGGACTGCGTTCGCGCTCTCCCCTGGTTATGTGGTTGTAAAACGGTCACAAAATAACAGGAATTATCCTGACTGTGCTGTGTTACTGTTTTTTCGCTAAACGACCACGCGTGTCCTGTCCAGCACTTTTTGGTTTGGTGGGGCCTGCCAGGCAGTTCCTCGGTAGGGACATTCCTTCTGCTCAATCCCAGTTTGTCCTGACCGTGAGCACCCCAGGCCTGCCACCTCACATCTCCTCCATTCATAGCCTGTGCAGGGGGGATGATTTCCATCTCCCTGTCCTCTCCCCCATCATTTCCATCTCCCTGTCCTCTCCCCCATCATTTCCATCTCCCTGTCCTCTCCCCCATCATTTCCATCTCCCTGTCCTCTCCCCCATTGATGCTGGTTCCACCGAGTCCCTGCTCCCCTCCCAGGGAAGGAACTGGACGAACACACGGTGAGAACCTGTGGCTTTATTGATCCCTAGCAGCCGCAGAGACAGTCGGGCCTGGGCACAGAGACCCCCAGGCCAGGGGGTCCCTTGCCCATCCGCAGCCCCCCACACCACTCAGAGGGTTTTGGCCTTCCTCCGCTGGGTGCCCCACAGCAGCAGGGACACGGATACGGTGGCAGTGCCCAGGATCCCGCCGAAGAGCAGCACCGGGAACGTGCCCTGCCCAGGAGCAGCAGAGAGTGGTGTCACTCCACACAGCCCCCCAAGGCCCTCCCTGATCCGTCTGGGGGGCAGCTGGAGAGGGGTCCCGTCCCACCGGTGCTCACCTCGCGCAGGCACTTGTAGCCATGGAAGGGGCTTTCACAGAGGCACTGGACGAGGCCGGGGCCATCGGGGGCACACACAGAGTTTTCGGGACACGGCCAGGCTGGCAGAGCAGAGCAGGGGGGTCACGGGACCCAGGCAAGACCCCACTGCTGGCCCCAGGCACCCACCACCGGGGTCACAGCCCCTCCCTCCGTACCGAGCTCCATGGAGCCATTGCAGGGGTTCCTCTGGCCCTGGCACCGCCGGCCGCTCCCGTCCACCGTCACTTCCTGCCAGGCGTCACTCCCGCCCGGACACTCCAGCACCGGCGGCACCGCGCTGGGGACAGAGCTCAGCACCAGCCTGCAGGGA